ACAACCCCCCCCCCCCTCCCCCCTTTTTCACTCGAAAAGGTTTGTTTTTCCGAAAATTTGTCAATTCCGTTTTTCTGCCACTGATACCAAAAACGACACAACAAGCAAACTAATGTCTTATAATGAAACATCAAGTTCATTTTACAATTAAGAAAGCACTTTTACCTAGCAGACTTTTAATTTAATATGCAAAAATCAACGAAGATTGAAGAAAAAGTATATTTGTCAATGTGTATTTTTGAGCAGTAATTTATTACAAAATGTTGCAAAATATGTATGCATATTTATTCATATACTTGTGGTACACATATTAAATATGTTTTACACCACCTATTTTTACACCATAAAACACCAAAAAAATACTATTTACATATAAATATACAATAAGCCACCTGAATATGTTTCCACAATGTTTTATTTAAGTTGGGATTAGCTGTTCATTGCAATGTGCAGGAGTTTAAATATAACGACTAACGAGATTTGTATTTTATGATTTCGGAAACTGATAACCGCTCATTCCACCAACTGAACGTAAATTTCGGGAATTTACAAGTGCATGTTATAAGAGTTTAATTTAAGCCTGGTTCCAACTTCCGAGAGTTTACCCCCAGCAGGTTTAGGGACTGTCCCTTACCGTAATTTTAATTATTCCCACGACTTGTTTTGGTTGCATTGCCATTGTCTTTCTGTTCTATCAAAGTCCACGACGTTGTTCGTTTCATGAAGTATTGCCCAAAATGTCGTGTAAGTGTGCCTTATCTTAAACTAAGTAGTTAGTGTGACATGCAAAGTTGCAAACTGTCATTTTGCGCGTTTTTGCAGCATTGTTGACAGAGTGATGACATGCCGTGTGCGTAATTCCTCGATGACTTTGCTGGGAAAATGTCTGTTTTTGCTGATCACCGCACCTCACATGATCTTCGTATGTTTTGTCCACATTTTGCAGTGACATTTGCAACATGTCGCCTACGCATTTTGCGTTGTGTTGTGTTGTAAATAATCCATGCGAAACTGGACACCTGCCAAAGTGGCGGTTGTTGACGCTATCAAGTTTTACGCATTTTTTGCTAGTATTTTGAACAAAATTCCTGCAAATGCAATAAAAGCTGAACTGAGCGCATATTAGTTTAAATATGTATCAGCGCATATATGCAAAACATGAATCGTGCGACAACACGGGTCATTATTTATATACGTCATTACTATACATCTTAGAAGTTTTGCATCGGTATGAGAAATGTTTTTCATCCTTGCCCTTTGCTAGCAGGAATTTGGGTTCCTAAATATAGCTAAGGGTTTAATATAGGTGTACACGTAAAATTGGGAATCGTATTTATCCAATAGGTAGTACCGTAGTTGCTTCGGGTGCAAAAGACAGCATCTCATGCTTCCAATGCTTTCACAGACACCGCGGAAGTGCGCATTTGCAATTTCAGGAGAGAACCTGTAAACACTGTAATGCAGAGGCTATAGAATAAATTTCTGACGCATTGCGAACTTAATTCGGTATGCAAATTGTTCATTTCAATGTTTATTCACACTTTTGAGAGATGGGTTCTTTTTAGTTAAATGCTATTCAGGTACAAAACAATGCATTCTGATTAGCATGACAATGAAACCACAATATTACATCTCTCAAAAGTGTAAACAAAATGTTCAATTAATTTGCATACCGTATTTACTCGTTTTAGCATACCGTATTTACTCGTTTTTTATTTTTTTAAAAATGAATGAGCGCCGAATGAGCGCCGCATCTGAAGCTCTGAAAATTTAAAGAGCGCCGCGGCGCTCAAACGAGTAAATACGGTATGTCCCGGCAGGGCGCTATAAAAAACAGGGTGTTTTATAGCGCCCTGGTCCCGGCTAGCCCGAGTTGGCCCAGCTGACTAAAAATGGAGCTAAACGAATTGACTTTTGAATTACGATTACATGTACCAGGTTGACTCGGCTAACAGGGCTGAAGTAAGCTCATTAAGACTGAAAATGCTCAACAGTCAGCAGAATAATTGTTGTTAGGAACTGATTAAAGATGGTTTACTTATTGTATTTTAGGGCTTCATCGCGCATATAACGGTCGGCGGTGTTGGTTGCAGTAATTAATATTTAGTATTGACCCCAACCTAAATTAAACTTATATTTGTTTACATCTTCAAACCGTGCGTGTGTGATTTTTAGCCCGCTTTGCCGGGACAACTCGGCAAAATGCGATTATATGCCCATGGGGAAAATGCGTTATTAGTTCAACTCGACTAACCGAGTTGCCTCGGTTGTCAACAAGTGAGGTCCCTGCTAAGTGAATTTGCCCGTTTTCCATGTAATCGCATTATTGGTTTTAATAGTATTTACAATAGAAGCTGCGGTATCGGTAAAATTGTCCCACCTCGGCTAGCCGGGACAACTCGGCCCATGTAATCGGCCCCTAATGCCCGCCGCTCACGAGCGCACTTGTCGCGCGTCCTTGTTATTCGTGACAAGTTGGATCGACAAAATTTCCTCGTGTGCGGGCAACATTTACGGCATGTTCGTCATTCGTGACATGTAAACCAAATATCAAGCATGTTTGATATTTGGTTTACATGTTACGAATGACGAAAATGCCGTAAAGGTTGCCCGCACACGAGGAAATTTTGTCGATCCAACTTATCACGAGTAAAAGTCCATGCATGCACACCGGACGCGATTCGACAACGCGACGCAATTTTTCGATTTTCACTGAACGATAACTTTGATCCTAGTTTAAATTTTCCAAATATTTAGAAACGTTATAACATTTTGAGTTATTTGGTCTACATATCTTTTAAAATTTGCTTTCATTGGCTCTTTTATTAACTTTCAAAAATTAAAAAGTCGCGTTGTCGAATCGCGTCCGGTGTGTCTGTACCAGGACGCGATATATAAGCGCTCTGGTCTGTACCTTAACATGTACGCGCGACAAGTGCGATCGTGTGCGGCGGACTTAAGACTAAGTTTTGTATTTCGATCTCGTGTACTGTGCGCCGTTTAATCAGGGTGGCGCAAATAATCCTATCAGAGGTGGGGCATATATAATCCGGGTGGTCCTTGAAAGAGTAAACCTATTTGTTGAAAACGTTTAATTGGACTACTAAACTCTTCCTAAATACTGACAAACTCACTGAATTTTGCTTTTAATGTCAACTCCCCAAATCAGTCTCAGCACATGCAATCACAATACGAATAGACCCTAACGGTCACCGGATACAAAAACTTTTATATTTAATATATAACATGAAGTTTCCGACATATTTAATGAAAACAAAATTACTTATATTTTTGTATTTGAGCCAAAGAATTTAGTTGCCTCTTGAAACTTAGCAATAATCATTGAATTTTAAACACCCCCGCACGACTCCAACGTTTCAACTGTTGGCGTAGTTATGTCAGTTATGAGACGTGAATTTTCACGATAAATGACGTAGAAGTTTGAAACTTTGAACAACTACGGCGTACTAGCATGCTCAAGGGAATGCAAATAATTTGCATCCCTTGACTCGTCTTTGTCTTAGAATAAAGATGCTATTGTTGATAAGCACGAGCGATGAGCACGTCTTAATTGACGTTGCCATTGACATTGTATTGCCAAACGCATAACGGTCAACGTGACAGATGTTTTAGTACGTGATGTTTGTTCGCACAATGTGTCCAGTACGGCACGTACTTACGTAGATCCGAAAACGTTGTTGTTTTACTATATAACTTACGATCAAATACAATATGTAAAAGAACAGTAGCGATTGACACACCAGGCGGAAAGTACAATTTAAAGATAAATATTAAAGCCCAGCTCAAACAAGACACAACAATAACTGGGAATAAAATTTATTTGCTGACGTTTCGTTGTTTTCAACAGAACATCTTCATGCAGAGCATTTAAATCTATATTTACAAGAGTATACTATATATATTTACAAGTTACTGAAACGGTTACAAAATTCAAATAAATGAAATGACTAATGAGTGAGAAGAGAGAGGAAGAAACAACTTGTCAGACGGTTAGTAACAAGATAATTACCTCTAAATATTTATCACTTATTTACTGAGACCGATGGAAACAGTGTATTTTGTGGACCGGAGACCGCCGTTGTTGTCCGAGGCGAAATATTGTTATGTAGTATATAGGCCTATTATAACTACAGTGAAACACACAATTTGATTGGTCAATAGCCGTGCAGGATCAGGCTTTATATAATAACTACAGTGAAAGACGCAATTTGATTGGTCAACAGCCGTGCAGGATCAGACAATCCTGCACGGGAAATTCTGAACAGAAATTCTTGCACATAATTTTACAAATATACTCGCATTGTAAAGTTTTATTGTACGATACCTTTCGACTTTGAAGTAAGTTTCCAATTATTGAGACATTGGTTTAGTTGTATGAATAAATTTCTGATCGATACATTCCTGTTCAAGCAAGTAGCAACGCGTAGCGTTGAAATTCATCAGACCATGGCAAGTACAACATCTCTCGCTATTTGCTTCAAAGTTCAAACGCTTCGCAATCTTCAAGTATTCAGGTCCAGAATCTTTTCATAACTACTTTGGCTCTCTGTTTAGCGGGTTTTCCTTTCAAATTTCGTAAATTTTATCGAAAAAATCTCTGTATTTTCGCTGTATATTTTCGCGAATTTGCGATCAAATTCTGTTCGCATTTGTTAAGTTGTTGTTTTCAATAGCGTGGAGTAGCGATTCTCCGATTGGTTAATTGACGATTGTTGTGAGAACTGCACATTTCATCAGTAATTTTAATCAAGTTAACCGTCGTTTCACTGTAGTAATTTTATAAAACAATTACCAAATGGTTTT